TTATATACCAACTAATCGATTACCTGTAATATACACGGTGGAATAACGGATAGCGGCTTGGATTGAGGAATCGGAGAGCCGAGTTCGAATTCCACTCGAATCCATTACATTTACTTACGTGCTAATACCCTTGGGAAAGGTGTGAATCCTCTTCTTCTCCCTCCAGCTATGGGTAAATAGCAGAACAGACTGTGTTCTATAGCCTTCGATGGCAACAGGTCTAGGAGAAGGAAAACTCTGAATTCAAAACCTGCGGAGGGTCGTTTGGGGACCTTGTGGCACTTAGTGCACCAGGTCTCTGAATTCGACCCTTCAAAAAGTGTGGCTGGTCTTGCACAAAACCTTCACCACTATAATCAAATCTCATGTGCTGTTGTCGGGCTGTCGGTTTCCTGGGAACTGATCTGCTTGACCCTCATACGTCGAATTCGACGGGAGAGTCGACTACATAGATATACACGTTAGCAAAGGTTAGAAGACTAAACAGGATAGTTGGAGAGGGCATTGGAAAGAATCGAAAAGATTAAAATAAAAACGAGGAAATTCAAAAGTAACAGGATACTTACATTAAAAGACACGGCGTGTTTACTTAATGGATCATTTAAAACAGCATAATCTTAGTTCTCAACTAAAACCACGCGTCACATCGCATACAGCATAATACTATCACTACACAATCTCTTGTTTGAAACTTACCACACGCATACATATGTAGTTATCCAAACACAGACGGTTTCGCTGTATCACAGCCCATCAGTGTGGTTAGACTTGTGATTGCTTCAAGCAACCCGACCGATTTGACATCAGATGGAGACTCTCACCCTTAGGCCATCAGCGCACGCTACGGACGAAGGTGATTTTTAACGCATTACATACGTGATGTAAGCATTGCCGACTACCAAAGGGCTTAATTCATAGCGAAGAGCTTTTAGCATTAATAAGCAGTAAAATTGCCTTTCTTCCAAAGTGCTCAACCTACGAAAGGGAGTATATATATATATATATATATATATATATATATATATATATATTACGCATTGAATAATGTTGCCATATCTGGTCTGGGGCTCCTACTATTCATCTCGAGGTTCTTGAAGGATCTGCTATATAATCGATCCTAACTTGGCATCTCGACTTCTGTCAATTTCTCACAGATGTGATGTAGCTTCCCTCTGTCTTTTCGACAAATATTTTCATGGTAACTACTCTGACGAGCTTTTTTCCTGGTACCCCGACTACATGAATTTAAGCTTGCTACAAGATAGGTATCTAGATCCCACCTTTTTACTGTAGAAATAATTAAATGTAACTACCACTTCTACCCCAACATTTTCTTTTCTCGCATCTCTCGCCTGTGGAACTCCCTTCCGTTTATTTGCTTCCCTGAAAACTACAGTCTTCAAAAATTTAAATGCAACAATCGATTGCCATCTTCTGTATTCTTGAATCCCGTTCATCATTTATCCTTTCTTCAATACCCCTGTATCAAGTTTTTTCTCTCACTTTCACTCTCTGTACCCCCACCCGATGCTAGTGACATTCCTGCATTGCTTGGAGTGAAATTATTAAATATATATATATATGTGTGTGTGTGTGTGTATAGATAAATATATATATATATACATATATAGAGACAAATACCAGTAGATAACGTCAAATACTCTACAGCTGCCATGAAAATATTTGTAGGAAAAACAGAGGAAGACAACGTCACGTGTTTATATTGCATAAAATGATAACAATTTTTCCATTTCTTGAAATTACTTCGCATATTGTTAATTTATATTCAGTGATTTACAGCTTTCGCTGAATAATTTTCGCTAAATTTTGCTTCTCGCATCTTGTCTCGTACATGGAAATAGTTAAATTTATCATTCATCTAAGAAAATAACTTTTTTCCAGTCCGAGATTGTCTATTCACTTTTGGACATAAACAGCATTTCCCTCCACTTGTTTTGATTTCCATTTCGGTTTTCTTACTGAGATTCGAACGAATAAATCATTTGTCCCTAGACAATATTTGATAGTATCTACATACATAATATTCGTTAAATTCAAGTAATTTCCATTTTAATTAGCTGTTTTTTCGGTTCTTTCTTCGGATAATAACTATTATTTTCGTCTCGTTGGGATAATTCGTGATTACAACCAGATTTTTTATCTATCTGAAAAGCTTTCCCATCTGAATACGTTTATTGTAAGCTTTTTCTTCTTTTATGTGTTTTGTCCATTCAGGACGTTGATGATCATAGCTTTCCACAACTTCCTATCTTTCATAGTTCTAAGCAATGATTGTCCCATTAGTATCCCCCCTCCATCTTCCGTTCTTCCATCCATTTACACAAGTTCGTTACGTAGGTTACTCGCTGTTTCAATCTGCTTCTCTTGCTTTCAAGTTTATATCCTGTGAGTAGTAAATTCCACCATTCTTTTGCAGTTATCTGTCTCGGACATATCAACAGCCTGTTTCTGATTTTAACTTCAAGCATTTTGTTTCCATTTTCCTTAAACCTTCCTCGTTGCTCACGTGTTCCGTCCATGGTATTCTTAGTATCCTTCTGTAGAATCACATTTCTGTTGTATCAAGTCTCCTTTTCATTTTTTAAGAAATTATCCAATCCACCGCCATTTTGATATTGATATTCCGTATAAGTTTAGCACTCTTTTGTTTGTTTCCAACAATAGTTTCCTGTTTCCTAATATTTTATTTAGCTTTTTGAAGGTATTTTTTGCTAATCCCACACGCCTTCGAATTTCTGAGAGAAACATCCATTCTTCTAGAAACTACTAAAATTGTGTGGGAAAGTTAGTGACTACGTTTCTTTGAAAAAAGTTTTAATGGCATTTGTCTACTAGTTGGATGGGGAGATCATCAGTTTGTAATGGTATTGCCTCGTTTGTTGAACTAAGACATGTTCTCGTGTTGTATACATAAATAAATGCATATATATATATATATATATATATATATATATATATATATATATATGACCATAGCTCAATTAGGTTTCATTTAAATACAAATAGAGACCTACCAAACTCTATCTGCAAAATACTTGTTGATAATACAAATATAATAGCATCATCCGAATGTATTTATTTGTACATGTGGATGATGCTATTATATTTCCTAAAAATAATAGAAGTATTATTAATAATAAAAAAAAAGAGAAAAAGCCAGCATCCAATAATATCAACTATGAACACGGTCACAATGTATTGACTGTGTTTGGAAAATAAAACATGCCTATAACTCTAGATACATACACAAAGCAATGCATATATTCAGTTAAAAGTAAAATAAAACTCATCCTTGATAATAGCTAAAAGTATAGCCAAAAGCTTGGAAAACATTCGGACAATTTTTTAATATTTTATGCACTGAGAAGAAAAAAAATACGAACACATGGAAGAAAAGCAAGCTTAAAGCTTAAAAGAGTAACGCCAAGTAACTCGTTAAGTAATAACAGACGTTAAAATGGTTAAAGGGGAGTAATCAATATGTTACCTAAAATATGGGAAGTGCATGTGATATTCGGATAATATATTTATTCAGAATTAAAATATTTTATGAGAAATTTTTTCCTGTGATTACAAGCTAACATAACTTCATTTCTTTTATTAAGTACATTTCGATCATTAATATTTTTGAGGATGAATTTTTTTTTCTAGCGAACACAGGTTGCATTGGTTGCCGCGGCCGGAAAAGGGTGTAGTTTTGGTGACAAAATTCCAATTTACTACCAGTGTATAGTCATCTGTTTAATATCCCAGTAAAATTTTGAGAGTACCGTGGTATTTGCATATTGCTTATTGTTAAGAGTCATTTTATGATGGTAGATTCTTGTTTTCCAGCTATTGGCTGTGGAACCGAAATAAAATTTTGTCTCGCCATTATGTTTAATGGTAACCTGTTAGATGACGCCTTTATACATACATTTGTTGTTCATCGGACAGTTAATGCCTTTTCGGCAATTACACTTTTTTCTGTGTTAATATTGCTATTGGTGTTGCTTAAGAATTTGTTTAAAGTTACGTTATTATGCTGTGCTGTATATTGTTCAAGGTTTCTAGTGCAGCTGTAACTAAGCTCAGTATTGTTTTACTTGAAGATTTTGTTGAGTAAAGGGTTATGACTGAGATGTTTGTGGATTAAATCTAGGAAAATCCTGTCTATGTTGATTTTGACATTACTGTTAAAAGGTGGGTTGAACCAAATTATGTTGTGTTTTCTATTCTTACGTTTATCATTGGTATTCTTATTAATGTTTGGAATGTATCCTAGTTTAACTTTGTTTACTTTTATTTAGTTCATCTACATATTTAGTTTTATATTTGTCAAAAATAATTTTGTTGTTGGAGTTAGTTGAGAGTCTGTGTTGTACAGATTTGTTCAAGTTTACAATTCCAGGTCGGTAGTTGGATTCTTTGTTAATGTATATATGATTATAAAGCTCTTTAGTATAATGCATGTGCAATCCTTTGGATAGATCGAAAGTAGTGTCCAGAAAGTTGATCACCTTGGCGTTGGTGTTACTGGTGATATTATGTCGATGATCCTTGAAGAATTTGAAAAGTTGTTTCCTAAACCGACAAAGTTTGTTGTGGATTGGCATTACGTCGGAGGATATGTCTGTCGTCTCTGTTTTGTTTTTTTTTTTTTTTAGCATTACGCCCCGAGCAAGGCGTGAAGCCACTAGGATGCAGGGGGTTGCAGAATATTTGGAGCGAGAGCAGATAGGAGTGATAGAAGAAAGGATGAGGAGAGGGATAAGTGGGTAGATCAAGGTAACTGGAGATGTCGATTAACATTACATTTGAATAGTTGGAGATTATAGCTCTCAGGGAAACAGTAATTGGGAAAGGTGTTCCACAGGCGAGAGGTGCGAGGTATGAAGCTATTGAAGAAGAGACGGCTATTGGAGTAGAAGAGCCAACTAGTTCACAAGCTATCATGTTGTCTTTTTTGTTACACATAGAACCAGTGTTCTTATATCCTATCAAATAGATAGATAGATAGATAGATTAGAAGATAGATGAATAGATCTGAACACAGATAGATAGATCTGAACAGACATAGATAGATGAATCTGAACAGACATAGATAGATAGATCTGAACAGACATAGATAGATATAGATAGATAGATCTGAACAGACATAGATAGATGGAATAGATAGATCTGAACAGACATAGATAGATAGATAGATAGATAGATCTGAACAGACATAGATAGATAGATCTGAACAGACATAGATAGATAGATAGATAGATAGATAGATAGATCTGAACAGACATAGATAGATAATAGATAGATCTGAACAGACATGATATATAGATAGATGGGTTTAGATAGATAGATAGATAGATAGATCTGAACAGACATAGATAGATAGATAGATAGATCTGAACAGACATAGATAGATCTGGTCAGACATAGATAGATAGATCTGAACAGACATAGATAGATAGATAGATAGATAGATCTGAACAGACATAGATAGATAGATAGATAGATCTGAACAGAGATAGATAGATAGATCTGAACAGACATAGATAGATAGATCTGAACAGACATAGATAGATAGATAGATAGATCTGAACAGACATAGATAGATAGATAGATAGATCTGAACAGACATAGATAGATAGATAGATAGATAGATAGATCTGAACAGACATAGATAGATAGATAGATAGATAGATCTGAACAGACATAGATAGATAGATAGATAGATAGATCTGAACAGACATAGATAGATAGATAGATCTGAACAGACATAGATAGATAGATTCATAGATAGATTCAAAATTATATAGAATATTTTTAGTTTTCTCGATAAATATGTTCTTTTTCCTTTATCCCTACTTGCATTTTGGAATAAATCTTTAATCACGATATTAAATTGCATAAATTCAAATGCATTGAACGCTCTTTGCGTAAAAGATTTGCTTGGGACAGTATATCGTCGATTCCTGCCATTATTAGAGATGACCAATATTTCCTTCGAATCCCTAACAAAAGATTATCTTTAAAATTCTAACTTTGTCTTCAAATACCACGGCATTCTTTACACATCGGCAAGCGTATGGCCATATCACGTTGAAATACTAGTTCTCGTACGATCACCCATGTTAAGCAACATCAAGCCTGGTAAGTACCGCTTGAGAATACCAGTAGCTGTAAGTTTAGATGCGCGGGTGATGTCATGGATAAAGCCTTGGAATTTGAAATCAGAGAGCCGAGTTCGAATTCCAGTCGGATTCGTTATATTCACTTACGCGCAAATAACTTTGGGAAAGGCATGAATCCACCCCTTCTCCATATCTATGGGTTAATTATTAGGACTTGTATTAATAAATCATTATTATTTCCAAAACAATTCTTATAATCTGAATGTTTTCTGGTTTTAAATAACCTGTAAACCGTTGATAAACCGTAAAAAACAAATCAATCGATTAATCACTCTACACATCGGTTAAATGAATTAAGAAAACTGACAAATAAGAAAAATATGGAATGTAAGAAAAAAATCTGTCGAATTTTAATAAAACAAAAAAGAAATTAACTTTCAAAGTTTCGAATTGTAAAAGCAAAGTTTAAGAATTTCATATTACCAAACCGATTCTACACTATTTCCATGATGACAAGGTGATGGGGTAAAAATAAAAATGTTCAACGTCTTTCACTTACGTCGCCTTCTCACTATTTTAATTACACTCTTAATTTCCCACTCTGATTTTCGTATATCACGCTTCCACCCACTCTCTCTCTCCTAATCTCTCTCTCTCTTTCTCTCTCACTCTCTCTCTCTCATTCATAATTTCAAAATTTTGCGTTATCTATGATAGAATTTACATTGTTTATTGGGGGAATTATTATACAAAACTGTCAGTTTATTTTTGCATTAAAGATCTAATTTTCTCAATATATACATATATAAATATATCTTTATATTGATATATTGTTTAATATATATATTTTTTCTTTAATATCGAATAGCTGAGAAAACGGCCTATAAAAATGAGATTAAGCCCATGCGTTTGACTTTAATCGGAAACAACGTTTTGATCATTCTCGCCGTGTGCGCAAAGCTGGTTCTCTTCAAATATTTCAAATAACCAATAAAAAAGATAGATAAGTCAGATTAAGACAACTATGCGTCATTTCTATTAAAAAGGGTTATTTTTTAGACTTTCATTGCTAAAATATAATGAAAACTTAACCAAATCGATAAATATTTTTGTGGAACGAAATCGCTTCAAAGTTTTACTCACTGAAGTCGTCATTGTATAGCAAACAGCACATAATGCTTACTTTTAAAATAGTTCTTATTTCGACAAAAGGGTTTCCCATTTGAAATAGATAAAAAGAACAACTGAAAGAAAGAGACAGATTTTGTACATATATATACACACACAAGAGACAATGGTTAAACATTGGAAGACATAAGGAAAAATCAATTCCCAAAATCTCCACTGCACCCTAAAAAGTTAATGGTTACTGTATGGTGGTCTTTCAAAGGGGTTACTCATTATTCATTCTTGTCTCAAGGGAAAGCAATAACAGTAATTTCGTGTTATGGAGAAATTGAGTGCATGCACGAAAAATTGAAAAAGAAACATCCTCGACTTGTGAACTGTTCAAAAGCCGCATAAACTGAATTATTTGCCTCAGCCTCCATATTCACCTGATATCTCGCCAACTGATTATCACTTATTTAAGCTTTTCATACGTAATGAAATATTCTTCAATTAGGAAGAGATAATTGAAGCATGTGAACTGTTTATCACATCAAAGGATGAGAATTTATTTTAAAGATGGATCAGGAATTTAGAGATACGCTGGAGAACAGTCATTCATCAATATGGTGCCTATTTCAACTAAATAAATTAGTTATTTAACATTTCAGAAGCGTTTTATTCATTTCTTATAAAGTGCGTCATTTCATGTGTGACAAACTAATACATCAACAAAAATAAGGTTACAATGCACTAGGCAAAATATATATCTGCATGTTCATGTACAGTGTAAGAAATGCATTGTTCTGAGAAGGACAGATTTTGTAGTTGCTGAAAAGTATTGTCCTGAAAAGAACAGTTTTGTAATCAGCGAAGAGTGTTGTCCTGAAAAGGACAGTTTATTGCATATCGTTGCTGCTGGCAAGGGTGGATAGAAATGGTTGGAGCGGCGGCCGATGGCGAACTGAAACTATATTTTATTGTATTAAAAATACAATTGTGGCACAAGGCTAAAGGTAAAATGGAATGAGATTGGTCGTCATTGACTATCCTAAACCTACCTAATCTGATTCGCGACCCATTCTTTCATTACAATTGCCACAAGAATTCAAGTCACCGATGTCATAAAAATTTAAAAATATATACAAATGCCTTTTTTGAAACCTTTTCTTATAAAAATATATAGTATGAAATGAACGGAAAAGGGATGAACCTAACAATGAAAATAAAAATGACGAGCTGGAACTCTTGTTGATAGCTGGTTCCCGGAACAGATACTACACTTTGACCCTAGTCATCTGGGCGGCGAAGTCATTATTTACCCCAGCCTCCCCACTGAGACGAGATGTGACACAAGGTTGGGTTTAATGTCGGGAACACTCGAGCCAAGGAAAAAAAAATGCCCCAACCCCGCAACCGTCGGTTGCACTGGCATCAATCCCTCCACTCTTTAGTACAATGAGGGAGGTGCAACCTTGGGCAGCTGATCCTCGGGGCAGGGCACGTCACAGTATTTTATTTTCCCCAGTTGCGTCTCTGTCCGTATACTCAAGAACTTTCTTAACTAGGAGACTCTAATTTTTCACCTGCAAAATACTACTACTTTGCACTCTCTTTTCAGCCAGAAATAAAAGCTGTTGAACAGTTATTTTCCCGCTGTGGAATTTTTGTTCATTCTACTCACACTGGCATACACTGGCATGTGTTTTAAAAATAAACGTTTTCATGTAAGCGACGGAAATTCCGAATATCCCAAATATCCCATAAATAAAGGTATTATAGAATAAAAGTCTAATCGTTTTTTAATAATAAAAAACGTTTTCTAATAATGCGACGGTCACATATTCGAATATCTTTTCGAATATAACTTATTAAATAAAGGTATTATAGAAAACTAAGAAGAAAGGACTAATCGTTAATATTAATAAGACAGAATACATGGTTTTCATCAAAAGAGACAACAGAAGCTGCGATATTGGAGTGGCCATAGATGCCAAAATCCTGCTCCCTGCCCACGTTGTGATTTGTTTGATCGAAAGAAATGTCCGTCCATTCACGGTCGACTTTTAATCGGCTGGGGATGGAAATTTACGGACAAAAAAAATCAATGACAAACATCGATTCAATGGTTGGTTTTTTATATAGCATAGTGAAAGAAGATTAAGAAAAGAAAAGAAAAAATTCTATACACAGAGAGGTTATATATTAACGTCTGTTTCGTCTCAGAAATATATGACTCTTGCGAAGGATAAAGATTTCAAGGGGCCAAAGTTATTTTCTCCTTCCAACCTTTTCATTTCTCTCTTCTCTCTTCAAGAATTTTCTCCCCGTCTGTGTTTTCAGCATAACTTCTTATATAGATAAACACGGCTAAAACGACCAACATTCATATTATCATGGTTGTTATGCTTCAACCAAAATCATTTTGTTTTCTAAATTCTCAGCTCTAAATATTTAACGATAAATAAATATTTAACCATTTCTCTGATGACTCAAATCTTAGTGTCTTCTTTCTAGATCAGATTTCCCCATCAGTAAACAAAATCCAGCCATGAGGTTATTCAATCAATATAACTGTGTGTGTGTGTGTGTGTGTGTGTGTGTGTGTGTGTGTGTGTGTGTGTGTGTGTGTGTGTGTTTCCCAATAATAATTAAGAAACTGCATCAGAAAAAATTTAAATAAAAAAAAAGAATCTGGGCATGAAATTTCTAAAAAAAAAGTTCCAAATCATACTTATTATAAAAACCTAGGTTTTGATAGTCCGTACGTTTATATATTGGATCGATTATCAAGATTTCAACAAAACTTCAGGACTAGTCCGCTCAAATTGTTTTGCATCAATTTGAAAACTTTCAAATGAAAAAAACTTAAATACTGAAAAAAAAACTGTGTTAGTGTTGGTGTGTGTGTGTGTGTGTGTGTGTGTGTGTGTTCGTTTATATATGAGATCGAACATTTTCGATTTCAACAAAACTTCACTTTTTTGGTAGGAGTGTTTCTAGTCTTTAGTTTTTCTTTTATTTTTAATAAATGCATCTTGTTTTATAATAAAATTCTATTCAATCGGTAGACTCAAACGATTGAAAACAATGTTTTTGTTTGAGTTTGGGTTTGAAAAATTCGTAAAAAAAACAAAAAACTGTTCTATAAACAATGGCATTTATGATGGTCGATACTTATCTATCTCTTACTGTTACATGGCAACGCCGGGCTCTACTGCTAATATCTTATAATTCTGTTGGTTCCGTTTTAATCGCATGGAAAGACGGAAAAACAGATCAATGATGTTACTTGGTTTCATTGAAAGAAGATAGAAAGATAGAAGATATACACTCTTTATATATCGTCTGTTTCAGTGAAATGGAAAAAGTTGCCAATTTTAAACCTTTTCATTTGAAAATAACGACCAACATTCATATTTATGATTGTTATTGCAATATTTTGTTTAAATTCTCAAGCTTAAATATTTAACGATGCGATAAATATTTAACGATTTCTACTCAAATCTACCACAGCCAAGAAATCAATTAACAAAATAATTCCATCAAAGGGAAA